CCCCGCCCCGCCCTCACGCCGCGCTGGTGCCGCTGCCGCGTCTGCCCGCAGACAATCACACCTACGTGCTGCGCCTCGACTCCACGCTCTCCAAGGCCACGCACGACTACGACGACGTCATCATACACTTCGTCTCAGACGGAAGATTCAAGGACTTCACCATTGATTTTATGCCCAAGGTGTTTTTCATATCCGAATGTCTGTTTTATAAAAGGCGGCCGTAAGCCATCCGTTTCCATTCCATTATGAAAAAAACTATTCTTCTGTGTGTAAAAAAATGTATGGTCTGCTGTTATATATATATTAAGAGGAGTGTATGTATGTCAGGTGCGGGGGTCGGAGCAGGAGCTGCGCGCGACGTCGATCCTGATAGTGCCGCTGCTGTGCCTGCTGGGCCTCGCCGTCAGCCAGCGGCAGCGCCTGCTGCAGCTCGTCCTGGCCGCCTCCGCCTCCGCCGCCTCCGCTGCCTCCGCGCACGCCGGCAAGCGCGCCCCCCGCAAGAAGGCGCAGTGACCACACATCGACATCAACATCAACAACAACATCAACCACATCCGTGTCTATATCCAGTTAACTTCACAACATTTCAGTGAGAGAATGCGACTACAAAAAAGTTGTAGTTGCAGCTTGTGATAGGAACTATTTGTAAAATGTGAGCATATTGTAGGACTCGTGTACGAGTCGAGTGAGCGGTTACTAGAATTTATACATTTTTAATAACGCAATGAATTTATAAATAAGTATACTGTATGTTATATGTGAGATGTGCGCTTGATGTTTGTTTACATAAGATGATAACATTACAGTTAATTAATTTACATTTATTTAATTTGGGATAATAATTATCATTGATGTATTTGAAAGTTTTTAACAACACAATTCCCTTAGACCTTAGACATGGCAGACGAAGTAGTCAGCGGACTGTTGGACAATAAAAATACACCAAGTGTTCAGTATTTTAAATAATCATATTTAATCATTAACATCTTTCCGTCTTCCGTCTGACGGAAAGATGTTAATTTATTTATGAATCACAAAATGTATTGAAGTAGTCGACGTGACATTCCTGAGATGAAATCTACTACGTAATTTCATTATTAAAAAGACCTCATGAAAACCATTAATTTATTAATTAGAATATCATGTTGTGGTTCTTTATATTAATCTTTTTATTTATATTATTTAAAATTATGAGTTTTACAGATTTAATGAGTTTCAATGAATGTTTTCAATTATTTTATTTATTAATAAGACATCAAATCAATGATTTTATTTAAGAATGTTCCTTTAGATTTTATTTAAATGAATTGTTTGAAAATGTGTTGAAAATAATTTCTATATTATTTTGTTGTGAATAAATAAATGATGTGGAATGTTACAATGCTTTTTATTTTTAAAATAATTTCCTGAAACCAGTAATAGTAATGTTTTTCATTTGTACGTAAGTTTGTATGTATATATGTACATTGCATTGTGACGGTCTAGTGCCAAAATAACTGTACCAATTTAGACTTGTTTTCGACTATAATAAGAAAAAAAAATGTTACAACCGTCCATTTAATTTTTAAAATCGCAGACAATAGATGGCGCTATTTCACTATTAGCGCCTCATCAGTCAAATTTTGTAATCAAGGTTAAATTAATTCCTATTTTTTTTAATAAAATAAAACATATTTATAATTATTAATTCTTGCACTTTTTTTTATAAATGATTGACAAATAAATACCTATTAAATAGTTTTAAATTAGATATAAGAATATCGATGTGATGTTATCTGTAGCAGGCGCCGAACCTCCGGTCGCAGTCCGCCGCGGAGTGCGGCTGGTGGTCCCACAGCCGCGCGTTCTCTTTGCTGTACAAACAACACATATTATGCTAGCAATTCAAATTTAACTAAAGTCTATGGAAAATGTAAATAAAAGATTATCTGAGAAATTAAGCATTAACAGAACAAAACTAACGTCACTTTAAAATTTATAAGTAAAAAATTAAGTTTTACTAATATTTGTTACTTTCTATAAATTTCCTGATTTTTTTCAATATCACAAAATATGTACTAACTTGACGAAATACAGCTCGTAAGCTGCAAAGAAGCTGTAGCGAGAGCGCGCGTGCAACTTGCACAGCTGCAGCTTCTCGCACTCGTCCTCGGAACTGCCAGATAAATAGTATTATACAAATGTTATCACTTAAGCCAGAATTCCCAGTAATCATATAGGTACCGGTTCCACCACCACGGTACCAGAGTAATCGCCGTCATTGGATACTCCTCACGGGAATACGACGGAGGGATAAATTGAGGTCGAAGGCGCGGCAGTACTAGCAGCAAAAAGAAAATATGTTTCAGCAGGACGAGCAAGATTTTGGAAGGGATCTAAGAGAAAAAGTGTCTTCGATTTAATCGTAAAATAATTGTCACGACAAATGCACTAGGCGACAAGATCATTTCCTTAAAAAAAGTTACTAGCTAATGTGGATTTGATTTCTTTTATTTACCTTCTTTTGGTCCTAATTTTGTTTATTCCACTGTCAGCCAAATTTCCGAAAATTATAAACGGGTTAATGAATCTCTTCCACAGCCTATGACCGCTGCTCACAAGATCTGTGAAATAAAAATTTTAAATGACACATTATAATTTTAGAAATATAGAATATCCTGAAATTAATTACAATTTAAAAATAAAAAATAAAATTCTTATTTTTATTACTTATCTAAAATGATTTAAAAATAAAATTTTTAGTCAACGTGAAAAAGTAAATTTCAATTTAAAGCAAAGGAAAAAAAATACCGTTTCCGTCTCCACCAAGTGGCAGACAAGTTGCAGCACAAATGAGTGTGACTAAAATTAAAACTTTAATTTCCATCTTCATACACTTTTCTATCAAACGTGTCTCAAAAATGCGCGGCAAAAAATTGTGTTCCAACTGACATTTCCGAGAATTTATAATAGAAAAAAATTGCTCCCACCATAGAGTAACGGACGTTCAGTGACGCGTTTTGCGAGACAGTAATGAAATGGTTAAATATAAATTGGTTGTTAGGGCTCGTTACCGCGTCCACGTTGTTTGATTAGCTTGTTTGAACTGGATGACTGTGCAAAGGGTTCGCCACTAATTTAGGCGACAAAGTTATATATGTATACTGGCATTAATCGCCGAAGCAATTTAGAAAAGAGAACATACATTTTTTTTTATAAAATATCGGTGCTAAAAATTATACCAAGCAGTAGATGTTTTAAAATATTTGTCACAGAGCAAGCAATATGACACAACTACGGAACCAGACGTCTCGTTTTTTTTTACACATGGCTTGCATAAAGTGCAATCGTAAAGTAAATGTAAGAGATAATCTGAAAGGTTTCACGAATCTTCAAAATTTTTCCTTTTTTTATCTTAATAATGTCTTATGTTACTTCTTACTAACAATTTAAATGCGAAACTTGGTATAGATGTGGAACGTAGCCTGGAAAAGTATATAGGTTACTAATTAAGATTAGGAAATAATTGAATCTGCGTATTAAATATTTTTCCAGACAACATTTCATCCGCATTTCTAGTTTAAAAACCCTTAAATTTTCTTTTTTGTTATTATATATAATCCTCTCAGAGCTTTTAGGTAGAAAAATATGTTTACGGCTCACAGATTTCGATGATCGTAAACATATTGATCGATAAGGAAATGTTTAAAAATAGTTTTTGTAGATTACAATGTTTGAGATTGTAATAAGTGAGTCACGAGATGTTTGTCGGCACACGGCACCTCTGTGCTGAGGTCTACCTAGCATCAGTAGGGCTGACAACTTTCAATAAACGTAGACCCTGAGTAATTTTAGCAAAAACATCCACCAACTTGTTATAACCGCCTACATTGACCCGAAACCAAAACGTAATAGTCTGAATAATGCACCGTGCAAACCAGGATTATTCTTGTGAAACCCGAAGAAGTGGCAACCATATGCACCTGTACTTTTATCACGCATATGGAGCGTGTTCCTCAAACATACACAAAACACGTAGAACCACGTAGAAAGACTATTACGAATTATTATGTTAGTAACGAATCTTCTTCTATATTGATACATTCTTACATATTCATATCTATAATTTGCGTTTCTAACATTCATTCAAGTTCCGGACAAAAAACTTTATTTCTATTCCTACCCCTTAAATATAAATGAAAAAGAAAAGCCAATAAATTCCTAATACAACAGATGTAGACGGATTATTTATGTTTCTTAAACAAATCGATGGAAATTAAAATATAATCCTACTGTTAATGAATTGACGTATATTTGACGCACTCCGACACTACGCTAATTACAAATGCATATTTTGTTACATTTTCTTGTTTGAATTGATCCATATACACAGTATTAATATAAGCTCCCGTATATAATAAGAAACGTCGATATAAGTGCTTTAACTAGGTTTTTCATACTTGATATTAGCGATAATAAGGTACCAGACAAACAGACAGACAGCATGAATAGAGGAGAGAATATTATAAAATCAATATCTCTCTTGGTGGTTTTCAATTAGATAGGGTTACTAAAAATGTGATAAATTATCCATTAAAAATAAAAATCAGTTAAATAGTAAAAGAAATATTATACAATATTCACATTAAAACTCAAAAACCAATAAAGTAATTTTAACAACAATTGCATCATCTTCATGCGCCTGTTGCATCAACTTTTTTCGTTTTGCATCTTGGATTGCGCAATAAAATATTGTTAAGATTTTACATTTGAACATCTATCGTCACGATTTTCGGTTGGATCAATGTTTTTGTATTATTGGAAAAGAGTCATGATAAATAAATGGTCATCAAATCAGTAAAAAATAAGGCGAAAAATTTTGTGGATACTTTTTGTTTCTGTTCAGTTAATTAGGTTTTTGGCTTTTCGGCACTAGATGTCAGGACCATTCTAGAAAAATTGAGTAGACATATCTTAAAATTCATCTTGTTTTAACTAGAATTACAAATGAATTATTTAAGTCAAGAATCTTATAAAGATATACATTTAAAACCTCTCCATTATTTCATATTTTTATTGATGTTGTATTTTTGGCACGTTCTTCTTCCGATAACAGATGGCGCAATTTTAAAATAACTCCATTCCAACTAGAATATTCGCGATTGTTCATGCATGTTCTTGACGATAGATGTCTCATTTAGAGAAACTATAAAAGGGCCGTCTGTCGCGGCAGCGCGTCAGTGAGTAAACAAACATTTGAAGAGCGTTTCGAAGCTACACGAAAATCAACATAAACAAGCATGTCGCTAATGCCATATTGGTTGAGACATCTGAGGAACTTGGCGTACCGGGATCCAGTTGTCAGGGTGTTGGAGGATCCTTTCAGTGCATTTTCACGCGACCCTTTCTTCCGGGACCCGGTGAAATACATCAAACATCTGACCGCGCCGATAGAGAAAGAGTACCATGGGATTGAAGGAATCTACTCGGATTCCGAGGTGAAAGTCGACGGGAAGAAGGTGGAGGTGCACCTCGACGTGCAGAACTTCACGCCTGAACAGATCGTAGTTAAGACTGTGGGCAACGAGATAATGGTGGAAGGTAAGAAGGAGGTGAAGCGTGAGGACGGGTGGACGCGTAGCCACTTCGAGCGGCGGTTCCTGCTGCCCGAGGGGTTCCCGCCGGAGCGCGTCGAGTGCCACCTAGACAAGGGCAAGCTGAAGCTGATCGCTTTCCGCGCCGAGGCCTTGGAGGAGAGGAAGATCCCCATACAGGAGAAATCCAGTTCGGAAGACGGAAAGAAGGATTGACTGGCTTATTAGTTAGCATTTCCTTTAGAAATGGTAAATATTGTGAAAATGTAATGTGCAAGCTCTGTGAATGCAGACATTTTTATAAAACATATGTGATTGTGAATAGATTTTTTTTTTAATGAAAAAAGATTTATATTCATTGTTAATGAAAAATTGTGCCTAAACAAGATTTACTGCCACGGATATGTTTAAAGACTTTAAATTTTGTTTAGGCATAATTTATCATTTAAAATTATTCATTCATTGGCGATATTTGGTGAGACTGATTATTTTATATTTGATTTAGATTTAGTTTGGGTTACTATTAAACGATACTAAAGAAATTCATACTTTTATTCACACAAGTACTAACCTCACGCAACCCAAGATCCATCCTAGTTTCTATTATGTAATATAGTGACAAACCCGCAAGCGCCACCAGAATTCGCCGAAACATCGCTACGGAGAAAAATAAAGTAGATATTTTCCTGGTCTATGCGTCGAATCCTCCGTCAATTCCACTTCTTCCCATCCTTTTCTATTGACTAAAGGGTGGGAAGGGATAGTCCTTTGGCACACGAACTCACCAGCCAGTATTGCACCGGTCGAGTCTCCACTCGTGCAGATGTTGCGGTGTCTATCACTTTTATTTTTCGCTTAGGTTTCGCGGAGCTCAAGGGCTTAGGGTTACTTTGAGAGTCGCGGGTATAGAATAAATGCAGACTTATACCGTATGGCGCGACGCCGGTGCGAGTGGAAAGTCGTTAGTAATATAACAAACGTTTCCTTTTTGTTCTGCCAGGTGCAGAAGTGTAATAAACTTTCATTAAACTGACGCAATCCGAACAGGAAACGCTAACAACATGTTGAGTGAAAAAATTATGAATCTCATTCAGTAAATGTTGAGAGCAGTGAAAATATTAGACATGGTGTTGTTACTAGATAAATATTTTAATCCTCCCACACGCCGCCGCCACCGCCGCCGCCGCCGCCGCCGTCTGATACGAACCGGCGCGTCCTGTCCAGACTACGACTGTCTGATTCTATGTTTGTTGATCATCTGGCCTTCAATATAAATTGATAAGAGTAATTGATTGATACCTTTTAGACGTCAAACAACTCTTATCGTGAACATTGTTGAAGCGTTACAATTTCAGACGATGCGATGCTCTCAATTCTAAATGCGATACAAATAATATGATACAGGTTTAATGATTGATATTTATCAAGTAAATATATTTCTTATTTATCATAAATACTTTATGAGCCGAAATATTGTCCCTTTCCTCAATACATTGCTTTCTAGTAGTTAATTTGATAACTTATGTTAACTGCGCATTTCGGGCAAAGGTTGAGCCTGGCCATCCAACGGGGAAATGCCGCCAGCCTCTTGGGAACCCTACCGTGCGACCACAGCGATTTGGGGTCGATTTTTTATATTATTTAGTTTGGTTTAGTTTTAATATATAGTCTATAGTATTATTTTGGTAGATTAATTTTAATTTAATTAGTCACTCAATAATTAATATAGTGTTAACTGTTATTTCTTGGTAAAATCCGATCACGTAGTCGTGAATTCGAAACCGGCTTGCATGACATTGACATTGTGGACTTCCCAATATTGGTCGCTTACTAAATGCATGAGGTTCAGCGATTATATGTTTGAATATCTCAATAGATAAGAGAAATTCCTAACGAAGTGAAGATTGCATCATGTACATACAGACTATATCCAACAATAGAATATACGTTAAATTAGCTGTAACGAGTCGCAATTATTATTGTTCCAAATTATTATATTTAAAAACACTATAAATTAATCGACGTTAATTCTCCCACGTCATTTTGGCAATGCTCATGGTGGTCGCGGGACGACATTAAAATAATTAGTTTTATAGGCTCTCTGGTGTGTGGCAATCAAATGTATTAAATATCTGAAGTATAAGCAGAGTACACTGGACGTGTGTCGTGTTGTGGTCAGTCGCGTTTCGCGTCGCTCACCAGGCGGTCGATCACATTGTGCGATAAATGTTTCGCGATTTGCTTTTAGTTTGTTTTTAATTGTATGGTGTGTTGTGGCATTATTAGGTCGTTAGTTAGGTACTACGAGTATTCATTGCTTAATGAAGAAAAAAATATTTTTCAAAGAGAATGATTGGAGTGAAAATATCTTGTACAAATGTTCTGACACTCAGATCCCATGGTTTTAATTTATAATATATTATGATCTGCTAACTTGACCATTATTTTATTGTTTTTAGGGTTCCGTACCTCAAAAGAAAAAAACGGAACCTTTCTAGGATCACTTTGTTAAAAACGCGTTTAGGTATCAAGCTGGAATTTATATCAAATACTCAGGTCTGCGGTCCCTTTGTGCTGTGAAAAAACAATACTTCTTAACCAACGTAATCAAAAGATACAACCGTTTACGTCGCAAATTTTCGACATTCGCAAGGGAATCAAACCCTACAGGGTACTTCTCGTGAACTTAGAAACTTGAAATTTGGCATAAAGCAACGTCGTAAACCAGACAAAGGAAAAATTTAAAACCGTTAATTTTTAGTACCATTATATAAAAACATATTTTTATTAATTTTATCTTAATACCCCTTTCCTAATGAAGGCGTTAAGATATTAAAATGAAATTCATATCAAATACTCAGCTCTATAATATCTTTAAGCTGTAATAAAATCAAACTTCTATATCAACGCAATCAAAAGAAAATGCAATTTATACTGCATTTTAAACTCGCAACTACTCACTAAAGGGTAATTATAGTCGACCTAGACGTTACTTACATCTACAGGTTTGTTCGGAACCCTCGGGGCGCGAGTCCGCCTCGCACTTGACCAGTTTTTCCAGTTAAGATGCCGAAATTTGTTTGCTTGTTTTTTTTTATAATTTGAAGGTTCTCATTGTCGTACAATGTATTGCAGTACGAGTAGATTAGAGACAAGCGGTCGCAAATGGCTCAGAGGATGGATTGTGAAAGGAATTGGAATCCGGCATTTGATTATTGTTAGAATTGTAGAAAATAATTATTAATCAATATTTTAATACAAATAACAAGAAATACATATATTTCATAACTAATAAATAACTAAACTTAACTTTTTTGTCTCCTCATTGTAACCTTATAGAAATGATAATTTTTGTGGCGAAATTAATACGATAGAGCAACAAATTTGAATATTGTGAGGGGTTGTGGGGGTAGCTTTAATGGGTTCGGCATGTCGGGGGAAGGTCGTTGCCGTGGTCACCGGCCTAATGTTTAACTACCCTTACTCTAATAATGGTGAAAAAAATCTAAAACGTTGTAAATTGCCGTTTTTATGGTTTTAGTTTGCATTATGTTCTCATGATTCTATGATGTCTGCTTAGTCATTAGTACTTATTAAATTAAAACCTATTCAATAACACTACATAATATGGTCGATGATCAAAACTTAACAAATCGAAGTCAAATCGAAAAAAAACTCTTAGCTCGAAAATATAAAAGTGATAATGCGTCTTTGAATATCATGGAGTAATTGAGTAAAAATATTATTGGTAAATGTCAGTAGAATGTATTAATTGGCACATGGACAACAATACTCAAATGTAAGATCTTAATCGCTGATCAAATGAATTGATCATTTGATTGATTATTGCTTGATCGATTTTTTAATTGACTTAACATCCTTGTTTAGAGTAATGTTTTCAGCTGGCAACATTCCTGCGAAGGTTTTAAAATCTGTATGCTTTTAGTATCTGGTACTATAGTACTAAGTAGTCTCTAATTCAGTTTACTCTACAAGCTTGTTGATGTCGTGTAAACTTCTCGATGTTTTGAAGTGGATGACTTGATGTTTGTGACGTTTTCTCTTGTGGACTAAGATAGCAATCAGTGAAGGTGAAGAAAATGTCGTCTGAGTCCTTACCTCTTGGTAAATCAATTAAACACTAACTATAATATATTTTTTTAATCCTTATTTAATTTGTCAATTAAGGACTAAATAGAGAGACCAAAAGTGTTCATTTTCTTGAAAATACAGCATTTCAAAGTTTGTTAAGACTTCTCGTTAGAAATATTGCAAATGAAGCGAACGTGCGCAGTCCGCTAAATAAATAAATACTGGAGCTTATGAGGCGGAGGCATGCAAATGATAAATATATCTCGGCGCACGTCTAAATATTTGGTCCACAAAATGTTATAATTATCAAAGAGCGGATGTGCTCTGTCGATCACTATTACTAAAGAAAGCAATACATGCAAATGTACTCGTAACCAGTTTAAATGTAGAAGGATAAATTCTATTAACACTGTTCCGTTCCGTAAGTCCGCTAATGTTGTCTCCAGGTCTAAAACAACTCGGTAACCTTAGCGAGTTGTGCGTCAGGCAGAAGGTGACGCACTTCGCCAACAACAAGTACGTGGTTATGACGCCAGATGGTAGCCCGGTGCTGTTCGCCCGCGAGGACTCCGGCTTGATGGACAGGCTGCTGATGGGCACCAGCCGGGCTCTGCACATCAACGTCTTTGACACTGAAGATAAGGAGGTAAGGAGGGAGGAGAAGAAGATATCTGCTTTAATTTTGGTTCTAATTAATTGTAAGTTTTTTTTCGAAGATTCCTTTACATACTTTGAGTATTTTTAAGATGGGTTAAAGCTAAAAGGGCAGTCGAAACACCGACTCCTTCTAAAAGATCTCTTTTTAAAATTATCAAAGATTTATCTGAGCCTCAGCTTGGCTAAGACAAAATATGTTGATTAAGACAGGTTTCATAGGCTTTTAAAAATCAACAATATAGTGAGGGTGTGACACATGTAAAGCTATGTAATATGACATTTAGGTGATGAGGTTCCGGCGACCGTACACGATGGGTCCGGACAAGATGGAGGTTTGTGTGTGCGGGCGCGGAGTGGCGCTCGTGCGCAAAGAGTTCACCTTCCTCAAGCCCGTCATCAACGTCAACGACGCCGCTGACCGCCCGCTCTTCCGCGTCAAGGGCCCGCTCGCCATCACCAGCCAGTGTGACTTCGAGGTGACTGTTGTTACATCAACTAAGCGTAGAGAAGACTTTGGCTCCAAGATATGAAATTACTGCTGAATATATAGAACATTAGATTCCCTATTTTCTAGACTAGAATCATATAATAAAACAGAACATTTATTAAATTTTTATCTTTTTTTTTCTTTCAATAACTTCAGATATATAACATGGAGAAGAAGCGTGTGGGCGCAATTCGCAAGAAGTGGGGCGGCTTGGTGCGGGAGGCGTTCTCGAGCGCAGACAACTACGTCATCGAGCTGCCCGCCGACCTGGACGTACGCTACAAGGCCGCGCTTCTCGGCACCTGCTTCCTTATAGTGCGTCACATTATATATTCACTCCAGAAGACCTGCCTCTGCCACTTTTATCCAGTTCACTGCAACCAATTAATTTAAATGTACTAAAATCAAAACATTAAAATGTTGGAAACGCGTCATAATATCTAACGAACGATTTTGTATTTTTACTCCTAAGTGAATCTCTTCATAGAGGCTTGGTGACCTTTTTATCGTTAAATTTAACTAACCAATTTAAAAAAATCGTTGAAAAAAATGCCAAAATTTTATTTTCCAATTCTTCTATGGGTGTTTGAAAACTAAGCATTAGCAGGATCTCTTCTAGTTAAGTAAATAAATTATTAAATAAATGTATTGTTTTCACAGGACTTCATGTACTACGAGAACTGAGATGAATCTGTATGTCATGCGCAGTGCAAGAAGATATTGAAAAGGAGATGAAGTTGGTGCGCGGGAACTGTCAAGTGACAAAGATGTTGCTGCCGAGGCAGTACCACACACATTCAAATTAAGCATAAAGTTGAATTAAAAATCATCCTTTATAGATTTTTTCACAAAATACTCATTTGTTAAAAACGTAACGTAACGTGTATAAACTACTGTGTAGTTGATTAATTAAATATAATTATTGTCATGTTGTGTTGAGTACAGTGTCTACGTAATGTACAAAATGTTATATTTTATTGACGAAAATGAAAAAGTTGAAATCTTGATTTCCAAATAAGCGACATCTATCGACTCGCATCATAACTAAATTTAAAATTGCAAGTCACTTAAGCTTTTTATTTCTTAAACTGGTACATAGATGGGGCTAATATAAAATAACGGGGATTTATAATTTTATACTTTTAACGTCCAAAAAACATGGACAGTTTGGCTTATCACCAAGCCACACGAGTTTATGGTATTTATTATTAGTCAAATATCTACACATATTGCGTACATCTATTATGATTTCCAATGGATGAAGGATGAAGGACAATTTTCTTTGAATGCTATAATATTATTGATTTGTACATATATTGCCTTGTGAAGATGCAGATGCAGTTTAACAGTGCTTCCACTTCCACACACAAGCAATTGCGCGTTTCATCCGAGCAGAGTGCGTGCTGGAGGCATAACTCAGTCCGCTTTTCGTTCCTACCCTTTTTTTACAAGGTAGACACGGAGAGATTAGCGGGATTTGGTGAGGAAGGGGACGAATAGGAAGGGAAAATATCTTCTTTCTATGCGACCGTCCTCTGTTGATTAAAGTTAGGTGAGCCGAAACTATTTCAATTATTAAGTACTTAACGATGACATAATAAATATAAACAGAACTTTGTAGCACAACTAACAATATTTTCTTTGGGAAGCAGTAGAAGAGAGAGAGAGAGTAGAGACGCGGGTAATGCTCATATGTACGTAGTTTAATAACTAAGTGCGCTAATTACCATAATTAAGTTGTAAAGTTACATTTGCATAAGCACTACAGTCGGAACTCCACACAAAGCGGGACGGAGCGGAGCAGCGCGCTACAGATTTGAATACTTTCATGTTATTTATTTAACTTAATTCAAATGTAATTGGAAGGAATACAAAGACAACTTGATGTACAGTTTCCGACATCGACATTGTTATTGGACACTTGATAACATGAAGATATTTTATGCTACAATCTCTTCAAAAATCCTTTTCAATCAATTAGCATATTGTCGATTTTTATGAAATTTAATATGTATATTCAGAAAGTCTGATAATCGGCTACTGTCTATTTTTTAAAACCGCGAGGTCTTCAGTCTTCATCAATATACAGATTCTTATTCTAATTTACTTAAGTAAATAATACAGTTATTATGTTTATTTTATAAAAAATTTAATTTTGTTTTTATAAATACCGGTCCCTTTATTGGTACGTAGCGTCTGATAAAGTGGGTTATTGCGCGGAACGTGAAAACCAATCGGAATATAAATTCAATGCTACAAATAAACAGGAAGGCAAAATTGACAGCGAATTAATAAAATAAATGAGTGTTTAAATGAAATATTGCCTTCATTATGATTATTTAAGTCCGCGTCGACGCAATGTTTGAGTTTCAAATTGGAAATGGAAATAAATTATGCTAAACGATCACAGCCGGCAGCAGGCAGGGCCGCCGCCGCTGCGCACTGTTTCATATTGAAATTAGACTTTACTTGATAGTACACACTACATCAACTACATTTTGACATATTACTATGTTACTACTTCTTTTTTTTGTTCTAAAAGCTATATTGATTGAGACAAAAGTTGCACTAGTTATATTTTATTGCTTAACAATACCTAATGATCTGCCGTGTATTGTGCATTGTCACAAATCTCAGGGGTGAATTTCAGTGTTGGTTTCGTCTTTAAAAAATTAAAAATATTACACATTTTTATATTAAGGTTATGCTCCGTTAATTCCAATTTAAACTCTTTTTTTTTCTATAACCAATTCAATGGAAACGATTTTTTTTAATTCATATTTCTCGTCAACTCCGAGAAAGCAAATTTCCGTGACGGGATTAAGGGAAATTATTTGCCTGCTTAAATTAGCTGTTATACAATTTCCGGAAGAATTTTTTGCTGTCAAAAGAAATTTTCACATTATTCGTGGGTTTCCAAGACCAAAGTATAAAACATATCATCATCCCTGTTCTTATCTTTCACATAACAGAGATAACAATAGGTTTTAAACAAGGATTTTAGTCTCAGAAACCGTCGGTAAGTTGTGAAAACAAGGCAAGTCCAACGCCTCACGAGAGGTGCAACGCGCTAGCGTCGTATCACAATAAAATAAAGTTGAGCCGTAGGTAGAGCAGACACAAGCAAAAAAATGCGTCGCTCTACGTTTAATGGATTTAATTAAATTTTATTGGATGCGGTGTATTTGTATAAAGATTGTCGTTAACAACTCTAGTTTGATGATACGTACATACAAGATGTATAGCAAATTAGAATCGAAACTAAATTCTACAAACAAATCTACGAGTATATACGTAACAAGTAAAATAAGTAATGCAAAACAAGTCCGTATTTAAACATGGACTGTAAATTTGCACAGGCGAGCGAAACTAACATTTCCCTTGGGATTTAATCAGCTCAATAAGGAGGTTGTCCGCGACGTCTCGAGCGGGCGGGCGGGCGAGCGGGCAGGAGGGCGGGTGGTGGATGTTTGTGTCACTCTGTAATTTCTTTAATTTTCCTCGCACTTCTTGTAGAAAAGTCTCTCTTGGTTCCTCTTTTTTCAATAAAACAGTGGACGCTACAAAGTAATGCATTCGGAAAAACAATTACATTCGTAATTTGTTAAATCAGTAACATTCGTCTGTTTTGAACTTTTGAGACAACAACGAAAGAAATGTATTTTCAGTTGCGTTCTTAATTTAAGTTCGCATTACGGAAACATTTACATAAAAACAAGTTGAGAACCTTCACTTTTCTATATTAGTTCAGAGTAATATCTCACGAAAGTGTAAATAACATATAGAGATGTTTCCAAATTGTGTGATTTACACAGCATATTAATTGCATTAACATTTAGAATGTATATCGTCTTGCTAATTAAGTAAATTACGTAACAATTCCGCGCATCACAAAGACGAGATGGCTCTTGATGTAAGCCGTCTCAGACGCTCCCGGCCGCCCCCGGCCGCCCTCCGCTACGAGTATCGCCATCCGTAAAGCACTCTTCGCAATTGTATCGTTTGCAATTCAATACCTTCTCAATCGCTCCTCGGATCGCAATTTATTTAATTTAGACATCTGTTGTTAATAAATTGATGATGTCATAATAAGGGCCCGTTCACAAGTTTTAAAGATAATTATAATTATTGTTTATTTAAATTAATGATAACTGTTTTATGGCCAAGGTATTATGTAAGATGTTTAGATATGGGCGATGGATGCTACAGAGATGTCGATGTAATTATTTGTTTATTATAAATTCCAGCTTGATACCAGCACGCGTTTTCGAGAAAAACTTGACTTGACAGACGGACGGCCGGACAACAAAGTGATTCTATAAAGGTTCCTTTTTTTTCCTTTTGTGGTACGGAACCCTAAAAATGAACATATAACATGTTAATGTTTGTTTAAATTTTTCAGTGAAGTCGAGGTTGTTTGTGTCAATGTTTATGCACCGTAAAGTTAAGGTAAAGAAAGCAGGTATATTATATCTATGATGGGTAGTATATAAGAAAGTTGGAAATTTTTAAGAACCTACATCTGTCGATTGATGACAGCAACGAAGCTTTGGCAAATTATATTGATAGAGGTGGCAGATAGCGCCGGGTTCTCGACTTTATGATAAATGTTTGAAGTTTTTTAGACCTTTAAGCTTTATTTTCAACTTAAAAAATGTTATAAAGTGAACAGGTATTCCTTTAGGTAGCATGTAAACAAAGGCGAAGCGGCTGGAGATGGATCGTACAAAAGGGAAAATAGGCAATTAAGGTAATCAGGGAATCAAATGAATTTAACGAAGCTTTTGTTTTTGTTTACTGTGAAATTTGGCCTCATGCGACATCAGCCCCCTTGGGGAACTTTTATCATGTAAGAGAATTTATTTAAATTAACGTCTATTTGCTATACAAGTTTTTTTGGTAGGCTATAGAAAAGTTTTTGATATAAGTTCAACAGTGGCACAGTAGACTAAACAAAAGTAGACGACGCGCAGAATAATCTAATATCTTCCTCAGTGGTTGCCCACATTTACAAACGTTTAAATTGTGTGCTGACGAAACTTAAGCTGTACTATGAGAACAAGACGCTATAAAATTTTGCTAAACATAACCTTCACATATTTGTACTTTGTAGAAGCAATGTGTGTCATGTGTTAACATTTGGATGTATGATAGTTACTCATAATGTCACATGTTACAAAACAATGCGACCCGTTAGAAGATTTATAAAATAATTCTTTAGGGTGAATAATTTGCTTTCTTCGACATACTTAGGTCGTCATTCCTGCGACGTTAAGTAGGCACTTAACTTGTACAAACTGTCTCGAATCTAATGACGCGTACTGATTACTTTTTTCGGAAGTTGTCGGCGATGAGGCGATGAGGTGTTGACTACTAAGTACTAGATTACCTCATTAATTGCCCGTAAAAGTGGATGAAGAACATTTAAACCTTGTCTCCGTGGAGACGATTTTTACCTGCTTTGGTGCGGGACATTGATAATTTGTTCTTTTGTTTTTGTCAAAGTTCATTCAACAGCAGCAACGTAAGTTTTAACGTTAGCACTGGCATAATAAGCATTTGTTTGTTTTACAGCAGAAGAGTTAGTGACTATAGAAATACAAGTTGTTTACTCCATATTTTATGCTTAAAATTTAATTCATTCAAGTAGGGAAAGAATTTTAATGTAACGAGCAATGGTGCGGCTCTAAACGTGAGAGCAGGGTGCCGACATGGCCGGGGGGGTGTAGGAGCGGAGCGCGCGGGGTGGGGGG